GAGAGAGAGACAGACAGACAGACAGACAGGGAAAGTGAAAAATCACCCCCCAGGGAGGACAGCCATGCCACAATTCCTTCTCTTCCATTCTCCTCTTGGGATCTTGGGCACACATACACATGTGCCTGGCATGTTTTCAAACCACTAGATCTGGGACTCAAACTATAGTAGGCTGTGTAGCGATGTAACTGCTATACCATCTGCTGTCCCCAGCCCCTGATTTTTTTAAGACATAAAAATGTATGGTCGTGGGAACCAGCAGTTAGCGTAATGGCTATGTCGCTGGACTCCCACATAGTCGACCGCGGTTCGCGTCCCGGACTCAGTGGCTTAAAACTCACGCCGGGCGCGTGTGCGTGCGTGCCCAAGACCCCAAGAGGAGAATGGAGGAGAAGGGACTGCGGCGTGACCACCCCTCTGGGGGGTGATTTCTCGCTTTCTGTCTCTCTCTGTCTGTCTGGCAAGCGCCCACGCCCTATAGCGAAAACCTCTCCAAAAAAAAAAAAAGTATGGTCATCATGGAGTTTGTTTTTCTGTATAGCAATAACAACATGTCAAAGCAAGCACAAATCATTTAGGTTTTAAAGATTTACCTGAAATGGGAATATTCTGTGAGACAGATAACTGCACATCTCCAGTTCCTGGTGGCATGTCAACAACTAAATAGTCCAGTTGACCCCAATCTACCTAAAAACCGAGATGGCATAAATAACATCATTATTTTACAATTCCAATGAATAGTGACATAAACAAAATTAGCATATTAATAATAAATCTAAAGGTGTGAGGCACTGTGTTGAAGGCTAAAGATTTGTGAGTAAATAAGTGAAACTTACTTCTTCTAGTAGACCTTATTTAGATGATAATTTAAAATTTCCAGGTGACCTGTCCTCATACATGCACTCATGGTGAGCCTGTTTCATCATGGGCTTCTCTTCCAGACCAATGATTTATTTTCACTAGGTATTCTCCACATCTTGTCTAAGACAGTCTTTTTGTTCTTTAGATTCTTTTGTATAACATTTCCTATAGTAGTATATTTCTTAGGTATATTCTTTTTCTTCATAAAATTAAAACACTAATAACCCAAACCAAAACTTAATATAAAAAATTTAAATATAAAGAGTTCTAATACTACTAACATTTGATTATTTCCTCCCAATTTTTCTTGCTTTTTTTTTTAAAATGTCAACTACTGATATATAAGCAAGTCTTCAATGCTTAGCCTCAGTTTAAATAGGTCTCAAGGATTCTTCCACCTCTTTTTTTCCCCTCAGAGAGTTTTGCTCTTCCTGTCCCAGATTAGGAAGGCTCTGGAATTCTCTAAGTTGCCCAGAGAGGAAACTTGAAATCATATTTAACTC